GTAGTACACACTTCAGAGTTGTTTCATCCCGGGGGTACGAAAACAAGTTTGTCTCCTTCTTTACATCATTTTCATTACAGCTCTCAGGGGTGTAAATCCCTTCCCTGCTGGCCTGAATATGAGCAGAAAAGCCCCCTGGTGTCAGAAGAAGCCTCAGACAAGATGTTTTTGGGTATATGAAACTGCAACTAAATCTATGTTTCACTAGATTGTGGGCCTCTCACCACTAAGTAACCTTTATGATTTAGTGTCAGACCTAGCTCTGTCTGCAGAGTCTGTCTGGTCTTGTCCAGTTGAGGCTGCTTCTAAAATACTTCAAGTCAGTTCGCTGCCCTCCTTTGTTCATGCTGCCAGCATCCTTTGTACTGCATGGGTGAGCTCCTCCCCGCTCTCAGCCTTTCTGATCTTGCCCTCCTCCGTGATCCATTCTTCCTCACGGCACCCGCAGTGATCTTCATGAAACAAAAATCAAAGTATGTTATTCCCCAGCCAACTCCTCAGGTTTCACTGATGATGAACCCAGACACAGTTCATAAATGGTTTCATCTCTGAACCTTGCCCAGATCTCCCCAGTTTTCTTCGAGTGGCAACCCCATTGGATTCTCAGTTCCATTGGACTAAAACCTGGCAGCAGTGGTGAGCGTTGTGGCACAGCAGATTAAGCCATGGTTGGGGTGCCCATATCCCAGATCAGAGTGATTGGGACTAAATCCTGTCTCTGCTTCTCAAACAGCTTTCTGGCTTTGACTTGGTTCAATCCTGGCTATTGCAGGCATTTAGGGGAGTGAACCAGCAGATGGAAGATCTGTCTCATCTTCCCTCTCTGTTACTCTGCCTTTCAAATAAATAAATAAATAAAAAATTTTAATAATAAAAAAGGAAGGGTGATGATAATAAATACATACTCTGCTGTAAGGCCTTTGTACATCCAAAAGGCTATTCTTGTCTCAGCAGCCCCTTAAGCCAAGCCTAATCCAGAGCAAGGCCATATTTATCTTCAATACTTTCAATATTTGAAAGGCAGTTACAGAGAGAGGAGAAAAGACAGGGAGAGAGATATTCCATCTGCTGGTTCTCTCTCCAAATGGCCACAATGACTGGGGCTGGGCCAGGCTGAAGCCAGAAGGCTGGAGCTTCTTCTGGGTCTCTCCTGTGGGTGCAGAGGCCCAGGGACTTGGGCCATCCTCCAAGGTCTTCCCAGGCAGATAAGCAGGACGCTGGATCAGAAGTAGAGCAGTCAGGACTTGAATTGTTGCCTAAATGGGATGCTGGTGCTGAGGCCACAGGTTAACCTGCTGCACCACAGTGTGGGCCCCAATTCTCTTCAATTCTGCGAAGGCTGAGAGAGGTGAGGAAGTTGCAGAAGAGAGGTTTGACTGTAGCATAGGTTGGTTCATGAGGTTTAAAAAAGAAGTCAGCTTCATAACACCAAAGTGAAGTAGCAGGTGCTGATGTAGAAGCTCCAGTAAGCTGTGCAGATCTAGTTAAGAGAATTGTTGAAGGTGGCCACAAGAAACAGCAGCTTTTCCATGTAGGTCCATGTAGGTGAAACAGCCTTCTACTAGAAGGAAAGGCCACCTAGGGATTTTTTTTCTTCTGGATTTATTTTATTTATTTGAGAGGCAGAGTTACAGAGAGGTCTTCCATCTGCTGGTTCACTCCCCAAATGGCCTCAACGGCCAGGGGTGGGCTGATCTGAAGCTATTAGCCAGGAGCTTCTTCCAGGTCTCCCATGTGAGTGCAGGGGCCCAAGAACTTGGGCCATCTTCCCCTGCTTTCCTTGGTGCATCAGCAGAGAGCTGGATTGAAAGTGGAGCAGCAGGACTCGAACAGGGACCCATATGGGATGCCGGTGCTGCAGGTCAGGGCTTTAACTTGCTGTGCCACAGCGTTGGCCCCATGTCACTCTTTCAACTAAATAAAGCAAATGTTTAAAATAAAAATCACTGTCATTAATCATCAGGAAAACCACAGTAAGATATCATCGCACACCCATTGGGATGGCTGCTATAAAAAATAGGGGAGGGTGTTTAGCTTGGTGCTTAAGACACGTGCTCATGTCCCACATCAGAGCTGCTGGGTTTGGTATTTGGCTCTGGCTCCTGACTCCAACTTCCTGCTAATGCACACCCTGGGAAGCAGCAGTGGTGGCTCTAGTAATGGGGTTGAGACCTCTCTCTGTCTCCCCCCCCCAAAAAAAAAACCCACAAAAAAACCAGAGTAGCAAGTGTTGGCAACAGTTGAAGAAACTGGAACCCTTGTGTGCTATTTATAGAAGACAGTATGGCACTTCCTCAAAATATTAAAATAGAATTAGTTTGTAATCCAGCAATTCCATTTCTATGTATATATATCCAAAATAATTGAAAGGGTCTTGCACAGATGTTTATACACCCATCATCATGGGAGCATTGTTTAAAATAGTTAAGATTGAAGCATCACGAATGTCCATAGGTAGATGAATGGATAAAGTGTGGTGTATACATCAATGGAGTATCACTCAGCCTTCAAAAGGGAGGATGCTACAACATGAATGACACTTGAGGACATTATAATAAGTGAAACAAACTAGTTATAAAAAAAAAGACAAATACTGTGCAATTTCACATATATGAGGTATCTAGAGTGGTCCAGCTGATAGTAGGGTTGCTAGGGATTGAAGGAGGGGAAACAGAGAAATGATATAGTTTCAGGTTTTAAAGGAGAGAGAGAGAGAGAGAGAGAGAGATAGATGGGGGTAGTACATTTCATGCACTGGTTCACTTGCAAATGCCTGCAATAGCCAGGGCTTGGCAGGAGCCAAAGCCAGAAACTCAACTCTGGGTCTCCCAAGTGACTAGGAGGAACCAGATTATTTGAGCCATCACCACTGTCTCCCATGGTCTGCACTGGGAGGAAGCTGGAGCTGGAAATCAATCCCAGGTACTCTGATGTGGAATGCAGGTGTGCTAGTGGGCATTTTAACTGCTAGGTCAGATGATTGCTCCTAGTTTCAGTTTTGCAAGAGGAAAACGTTCTGGAGATAGTTACACAACAGTGTTAAATCTGTGAAAGTCTTAAGTGTCTGCCAAGCCCTTTGTCTGGCATTGTGCCATGTGACCAGGCTTTCCTGGCCACTAATATTGACAATGGGCTCTACCTAATAAATTGGGCATGAAGGCTGCCAAGTTTCGCACATTATGTGATGAATACTCCAGTTGCAATGATCCAAACCACTTTGAGATGCAGGGCACACAAAGGCAGTTCACGTAGGCGCAGAGGCTAAGAGAAGTGTAATTCTGAGGGACTGAAGAACTGGCCAGGTCACCAGAGCGGTGTGAAGCAGTTGTGAACCACAGTCTTCAGTCAGGAGGTCTGGATGCTGCTGCGATGATTCCCCACTTCCTGGTGTGACCCTAATGTAACGCTGCTAGCAAAAACGAGTCTCTCCTGTTTCCTGGAAGAGCCTCTTGTCTTGACAGCTCTAGTATTTTCATCATATCCTTGGGTCTCTGCTTTTCCATGGAAAACAGTAGTCCACCTTGATTAAGAAATGTGACTCTTCAAGGCTTGGTTTCTATTGTGTTTGAGAAAAATTACGCACTATGGGGCCTGCGCTGTGGCACAGCAGGTTAAAGCCCCAGCCTGCAACGCCAGCATCCCATATGAGCACTGGTTTGAGTCCCAGCTGCTTCTCTTCCGATCCAGCTCTCTGCTATGGCCTGGGAAAGCAGTAGAGGAAGGCCCGAGTCCTTGGGTCCCTGCATCCGCATGGGAGACCTGGAAGAAGCTCCTGGCTCCTGGCTTCGGATCGGCTCAGCTCTGGCCATTGCGGTCATTTGGGGAGTGAACCAACGGAATGGAAGACCTCTTTTTCTCTGACTCTACCTCTCTCTCTCTCTGTCTTTCAAATAAATAAAAAAGTCTTTAAAAAATATGCATTATGTCTTCACCCATGAGATAGAAGATCTTCCATCTGGGGTGTGTGTTTGGCACAGCAGTTAAGATGTCCTCTTACCCCTGTTCCATGGGGTTTGATACTGCCACCCGTTCCTGCTAATATCCACCCTGGGAGGCAGCTGTGATGGCTCAAGTTATTGGACCCTTGCCACCCACATGGGAGACCTGGATTGAATTAATGGTTCTGGGTTTCTTTCCTGGTCTAAGATCAGCTGTTCTGGACATTTGGGGAGTAAACCAGTGGGCGGAAGATCGCTGTCTCTGCCTTTCAAAGAAATGAAAAAAAATTCTTCCCTCTGCCAAAATACCTTGGAATAATTGCAATACATGACAGGGGTTAGGGAACGTCCTGGAATGGCTTTAAAAATCAGTGCCCATATCATTGATTGTTGCATCCTGCTTCTCTCCCTGACTGTCCAGGAGTTCCTTTAGTGAAGACAGCATTAAAAAAAAAAAAATAAAAAAATCTTAGCAGGCTTCCCCGGCCTCTGCCCGCTGCAGCCCTTTGTCTCCTGAACGGGAAGAAGATGCATTGTAGTTTAGAAAGGGGACGGCAATGCTTCAGCAGGTCTCGTCTGCAGGGGAGATGACCTTACAGGCAGTGAGCTACTGCTTAGCGACGGGAGCGTCAGGAGGCAGCATGGCCGCCTGGAAAAAGCCACGGGAGGGTTTGCTGCCTGAAGTCTCGTGCAGTCCAGACTGAGAGGCAGCGACAAGCGAATGGCCCTTAGGTAGACGCCGAGACAGCTCGTTCGCCTGGGCTAACTGCCAAGACCCACGCTTGGGCCAGTGAGGGACCAGTTGTGGGTGGGCACTTTTTACATCCGGGCATTGGGAGAGCCTATTAGCCAATCCGCGGAGAGGCCGTGGTGACATCACCGGCCGCGCTGTGGCCTGTCTCGCGACGTCATCCGGCAGCGCCGGAAGCTGTGAGGCACGGCTGGAGTAACGTGAGCGCGTCGCTCTGTGTCGCCGAGCGGTAAGGCAGTGGTCGGCCTGCCTCTCCTGGCTGGGTTGAGAGCTGCGGATGTGGGCGCTAGGTCCGTGCAGCCACTACGCTTGGGAGACGTGTCCTCACGGACGCTCTCGTGGCTGTTGCGTCTTTGAAGACGTTGCCTCTTTCTCCCTTCAGCTCCCGGGCGCCGTTTCAGCAGGCGCTCGCGGTGGTCTCTGCCCCACTTGGCGTTAGTTCTCGCGTGTCCCTGACCTCTGTATTGAGCTTGGACCCAACGCAAGCAGAACACGGACTAATTAGAGAGCGGGCTCTGTCCAACCCAAGGAGGCGGCCCAGCTTGTCGGCAGGGACAGCGTTTCCGCCAGAAGCGCTCTCGAAGGAGCTCGAGGGTCCTTCACAAACTTCTCAGCGGCTCTTAGGAAAGCCAGACCGAGCAAGCCTCTTCCCCTAGAGACCGGGGCTAGCGGCTCAGTACAGTAGAAAGATCTTTCGCATTTGGAAGGAATGTGGTCCAGGTTTGGAGCCTTCTGGGAGTGTGGCTTATGTTGGGAAGTGGGGAGAAGCACAGGTATAGGTTTGTGCCCGTGCACCTTACACGTTGCTGGCCGATCATCTTATTTTATTTATTTATTTAAAAGGTAGAGTTACAGAGACGCAGAGGCAGCGAGAGAGAGGCAGAGACAGGCAGAGGTTTTCCATCCACTGGTTCACTCCTCAGATGGCCGCAGTGGCCGAAGCTGAGCCCATCTGGAGTCAGGAGCTTCTTCTGGGTCTCCCACGCGGGTGCAGGGGCCAGGGACTTGGGCCATCCTCTGCTGCTTCCCCAGGCCATAGCAGAGAGCTGGATTGGAAGTGGAACAGCTGGGACTCAAACTGGCGTCCATATGAGATGCCGGCACTGCAGGTGCTGGCTTTACGCTCTAGGCCATAGCCGCTCCTAGATGATGCCTTTACCCGTTCTCTGCTTCTGCGTTCATCATACCTTCACTGTCAACAAGAACGATGATGGTGTTGCCTGCTTAGTTTTGCCAGACGCTGAGTTTTACACCTGTCTCATTTAGCCCTTGTGACAAACGTAGAGGAATTTTATTTGAGAAGGGTTTAAAGCTTCAGAGGTTAAATAACTTGACTGAAGCCATGCAATGAGTAGATGGTGGAGCCCAGATTTGAACTCAAGCTGTCCAGCTTAAGAGCCCTTGAGAGGCCGGTGCTGTGATGTAGTAGGTAAAGCCACTGCCTGCAGTGCTGGCATCCCAAATGGGTGCTGGTTCGAGTCTTGGCTGCTCCACTTCGGATCCAGCTCTCTGCTATGGCCTGGGAAAGCAGTAGAAGGTGGTTCAAGTTCTTGGGCCCCTGCACCTGTGTGGGAGACCCAGAAGAAGCTCCTGGCTCCTGGCTTTGGATCTGCGCAGCTCTGGCCATTGTGGCCATTTGGGGAGTGAACCAGTGGATGGAAGACCTCTCTGTCTCTCTCTGCCTCTGCTCTCTATAACCCTGACTTTCAAATAAATAAATAAATAAATCTTTTTTTTTTTTCTAGAAGAGGCCTTGAGGGTCACTGCCCTTCAGTGATTTTCTCTAGTTGTTCATTAAAGATTTAAAGATTTACTTACTTGAAAGGCAAAATTAGGTTCACAGGGAGATTTTCCATTCATTGATTCACTTCCCAAATGGCTACAAAGGCTCGGGCTGTGCCAGGCCAAAGCTAGGAGCCAGGAGCTTCATCTGGGTCTCCCATGTGGGTGGCAGGTGCCCACCTACTTGGGCCATCTGCTGCTGCTTTCCCAGGTGCATTAGCAGGGAGCTGGATTGGAAGTGGAGCAGCCAGGTCTTCAACAGTTGCTAATATGGGAAGCTGGTCTTGCAGGTGCTGGCTTAGCTGGATGTACCACAGCACTGGCCCCTGTTGTTACGAATTCTTTTATGGAGAAAGGGTTTTAGATGTTTTCCCTTCTTACAAAATCACTTAGGTTACACCTATCTTTGCTTTTCCTATAGTCTCAGAGGATGGGTTGTTTCTCTGATGAAGGCAAAATTTTTAATCTTCTGACCTTTTTAATGCTTTTTATAGGAGACCTTGTTTTCTTTCTTTTTAAAGGTTTTTATTTAATGAATACAAATTTTATATGTACAGCTTTTAGGAATATAGTGTTTCTTTCCCCCATTCCTGCCCTCGCACCCCTACTCCCATCCCACCTCCTACTCCCTCTCCTATTCCATTTTTCATTAAGATTCATTTTTAATTCACTTTATATACAGAAGACCAACTCTGTACTAAGTAGAGATTTCCACTGTTTGCACCCACACAGAGACACAAACTATAAAGTACTGTTTGAAGACAGGTTTTGCTGTTAATTCTCATAGTACAACCTCATTAAGGATAGAGGTCCAACATGGGGAGTAAGTGCACAGTGACTCCTGTTGTTGATTTAACAATTAAGACTTATTTTTTTAAAAGATTTATTTATTTTACTTGAGAGTCAGAGTTACACAGAGACAGAGAGAGAGAGAGGTCTTCCATCCGCTGGTTCACTCCCCAGTTGGCTGCGCTGATCCAAAGCCAGGAGTCAGGAGCTTCCTCCTGGTCTCCCACGCGGGTGCAGGGGCCCAAGGACTTGGGCATCTTCCACTGCTTTCCCAGGCCACAGCAGAGAGCTGGACAGGAAGTGGAGCAGCTGGGTCTCGAACTGGCGCCCATATGGGATGCTGGTGCTTTAGACCATGGCGTTAACCCTCTGTGCCACAGTGCCGGCCTCAAGACTTATTTTTGATGTCAGTGACCACCCGAGGTTCTTGACATGAGCTGCCAAGGCTGTGGAAACCTTTTGAGTCCACAAACTCCGTTGGTATTTAGACAGGGCCATATGCAAAGTGGAAGTTCTCCCTTCGGAGAAAAGTACATCCTTCTTTGATAGCCCCTTCTTTCCACTGGGGAAGAGACCTTGTTTTCATTTGTTCTACTTTCTGTCTGTGTTCCATTCATGTATAAAGAAAGGTAGGTTTCTCAAATTTTCCCTGACACTTCTGCTTGTCAAAGAAAGAAGGAAAATTCTTCAGTGATCTATCTTCCTTTAGCTGCCATCCAGTGACTCTGTTTTCCTTCTTATCCAATCTGTTTTAAGATTTATTTATTTATTTGAGAGGCAGAGTTACAGACAGAGGGAGAGACAAAGAGAGAGGTCTTCCATCTGCTGGTTCACTCCCCAAATGGCCGCGATGGCCGAGCTGGGCAGATCTGAAGCCAGGAGCCAGGAGCTTCTCCCGGGTCTCCCACATGGGTGACGGGCCCAAGTGCTTGGGCCATCTTCTGTTGCTTTTCAAGGCACATTAGCAGTGAGCTGGATCGGAAGCGGAGCAGCCAGGACTTGAACTGGTGCCTGTATGGGATGCTGCTGCCGCAGGCAGAGGCTTAGCCAACTATACCACAGTGCTGGCTCCTAATCCAGTCTGTTCTAAGAGTATTCTAAATTGTGTCTCTTATCTCCCATTACCTTCAGCAGTCTGTCTTTCGGATCTATCATTTTCCTGAAATTTCACCTGGAGGTCATCAGTGGTTGATTATCAAACCAGATAAACATTTTAAAATAAATCATTACTGGATCCCTGTACTACTTTTGACAGTTGATCATTTCACTTGCTTCCTATTCCTTTATTTTCCAGGACAGTTCACTCAACTTCTTTTTTTTTTTTATTTTTATTTTTATTTTTATTTTTGACAGGCAGAGTGGACAGTGAGAGAGAGAGACAGAGAGAAAGGTCTTCCTTTGCCGTTGGTTCACCCTCCAATGGCCGCCGCGGCCAGCGCGATGTGGCCGGCGCACCGCGCTGATCCGATGGCAGGAGCCAGGAGCCAGGTGCTTTTCCTGGTCTCCCATGGGGTGCAGGGCCCAAGCACCTGGGCCATCCTCCACTGCACTCCCGGGCCACAGCAGAGGGCTGGCCTGGAAGAGGGGCAACCGGGACAGAATCCGGCACCCCAACCGGGACTAGAACCCGGTGTGCCGGCGCCGCTAGGCGGAGGATTAGCCTAGTGAGCCACGGCGCCGGCCTCAACTTCTTTATTCATGAAACATTTTTTGTGATACAGAGTTGAATAAGACAAAGTGCTTTTCTTCAAGGAGCCTGCATTCCAGCTGTTTCTCCATGTATGTCTCTTACCAGTAGTTTTTCCTGTGGGATCTTTTCCTCCTCCCTAAAATGTTGAGCTTTTCAATTGCATATGACTTAGGTACCCTTCTGTTTTCATTCTGTACACATGGCCTGAGTGAGCACATCATGTGTCTTAGTTTTTTAAAAAAAATTCTAAATTTTGCCTGCTACATTTTTTAAAAAAGATTTATTTATTTATTTGAAAGTCAGAGTTACACAGAGAGAGGAGAAGCAGAGGCAGAGGCAGAGAGAGAGAGGTCTTCCATCCACTGGTTCACTCTTCCAATGGCCGCAACAGCGGTAACTGTGCCGATCTGAAGCCAGGAGCCAGGAACTTCTTCCGGGTCTCCCACGTGGGTGTAGGGGCCCAAGCACTTGGGCCATCTTCTGCTGCTTTCCCAGGTGCATTAGCAGGGAGCTAGATCAGAAGTGGAGAGCCAGGACTTGAACTGGTGCCCATATGGGATCCTGGCATTGTATTCAGTGGCTTAGCTGCAACACCACAATGCATGACTTGTAATAGTTTTATTTATTTGAAAGGCACAGTTATAGAGAGGCAGAGGCAGAGAGGGATGGGGGTGGGGGGGCTTCCCTTCCATTTGCTGGTTCACTCCCCAAATGGCTGCAACGGCTGGAGCTGCAGCAATCTGAAGCCAGAGCCAGGAGCTTCTTCCAGGTCTCCCTCACAGGTGCAGGGGCCCAAATACTTGGGCCATTTTCCACTGCTTTCCCAGGTCATTAGCAGAGAGCTGGATTGGAAGTGAGGTAGCTGGGACTTTAACCGGCACCCGTATAAGATGCCAGCACTGCAGGTGGTGGCTTTACCTGCTGCGCAACAGCGCCGGTCCTCTGTAATAGTGTTCTAACTGGTTTCCCGGCCTCTAGTCCTGCTCTCTTTATCTATAGTGCATACTACCTCCCTCCCATCCTGATGGTTTTGGAAACAAATCTGTGTCAAATTTCTTCTTAATGTTTAAAGATCTGTTTATTCATCTGTTCTTTTCTCCGATTCATTTAGCAAATATTTGCTGTCTATTGAATTGGAAAATTCATTGAAACTTCTAAAGTTCCAGCTTCTTAGCTGGTCACCCAGAGCTTTGCCTCATCTGGAGCCTACGTGTATCCCCAAACCCTTCTCCGCCTTATGCTTTAGGTTCCAGCAACGCTGACCTGCTTCTTATGCACCGTGCTAGTGTGCATTTGCCCTTGCTGTTCCCTTTGTCTGGAATCTTCACTCCAATTCTTTTTCTACTTCTTGATCTTCATCTAATTTGGCTGCCCCCTTTAACCTGATTTTCCCATTTTATATGTAGGACATAGTTAAGGCCCACCTCCTCCAGGAAACCCTCCTTCTCACCTACTTTGT